GTAGTGGGTATAAAAATAATAGATCACGACGTTTCGATCGCAACACAAGCAACCGTCTTCAGGTGGGACAACCACAGCAAGAAGAAACTGCTGAACTAGGCGAGAGATCTGCCGTGTCACGAGGTTATAGAGTAGGCCTCGGTAGTAGGGGGGGGGGGAGAGAAGGGGGGGGGGGGGTGGACGGGGCAGAAAGTGGACCCCGCAGCATAATACCTCTTAGGACATATAAACATCAGAACTGGGGAGACATAGGCGGCTGGGTGTGGTGCTGGCCACAAACACCACCCCCTCGTTTGTGGTATTTACCTTCATGGGTGCACACTGACAGCACTCGCACTAACAGCCTGTGTCGACTATACGGGGCTTTTTGTCTTTGTGTGCATCTATGCATCTCTGCACACAACGACTATATTAAGCATGCAGCGAGAGATGTGGCCCTGGTATATTATAGTATGTGCATCATGCTAACGTTGTGTATGTCGATTTAGCATGATTGAAAACGCTGTTGTTGTCGGATTACGTCTTCTTTGGTGGCTCTCCAAGGTGCCGAATGAAAATACTGAGCAAGAGATGGATTAAAATGTCATCTTGTAAGTTATCATTGCATAACACGGCATTAGTTTACCCAAAGTCCCTACACAGACATATTGCCAGACCTTGTGCAAGCAAAAAAAAAACACATTTTATTCATTTTATTCCAATGTATCACCCACCATATAATGTGTAATATTACCCCAATGAATCCGTGTTGGTGTAGGTTATCCATTGCTGTTGAGATTATGATAATGCAAGTTATTCACTTGAATGGAAGGTGGTAAAGAGATCGCCATTGTGTCTGCGTGTTCGTGATTATAATGATGTTAGAGAATGAGGTCATGTAAAAAAAAATGTAAAACCGTAGATGACGACGATGATGGCATTAAGTGTTCACGCCCCACGCAATTCTGATTTGGCACTGCTGCCAATGAAGCAGCAGCAGCAGCAGTACCACCACCACAACCACCACCAAGTGATTGGCTTCACTCCTTGCATCGATGATCAACCAACAAAAACCCCCAACAAATCCGTCAAACAACACTCCGGCCTCAAAATGGTAAATACATAAAATGCGAGATGCTTAGGGCAATGGCTTTTCTTCTTCTTAGCATGAGCGGTGAAGCAGAAGTGTGTTAGCCCCATTCTGTACCACAACTACCCTGCGCCTCCTCCACCGTGTTCCAGGTTTAGTTTCAGGTGAGAATTCGGATAGCCTATTTTGAAAAAAAAACGACCTGGACCATGTGTCTGAGAGCAGTGAGCGGCGATTGCCGCTACGTGTGCGTAATCCCCAATTGAGTAAATATTTGAGCAATTTTTTCCAAATTGTCAAATTTGGACCCTGACGCCCGACACACAATGGCCAACTCTTGCGAATGAGGTCCGGGGCATCTTTCAGGTCAACTGTGAGGCAGACGGCGCATAGCATCAGCATCATCATCATTATTATTACTCCGACTATCACACCCGCGGGTATTAATTAGGGCGGCAGCCGCTGGAATTCGAACCGTGAACCTCTTGCAAACGAGGGGCGAACGCGCCACCCACACAAGACCCACGTGGCCGCCACAAGGGGAGACAAATCCCCCCCCGGGCTGTGACAAGCCCGCCCCAGTGACGCGTCTTGCACACCGACTCACTCCTCCGCTCCCTCACCGCTGTGAGAGCCCCGGGTCAATGAACGCAGGAATAGAGGACCGGAGGATCCTTCAGGCTTGCGACCACGCGGGAACTAGCACAGTGATGCCAAACAAAAAGAGCAATCCAGGCTGAAAGAGCGAGCCTATTCGCCGGATTACAAGGACGCGCCTTGTTGGGAGTGCATCCTTATAATCCTAAATCCAGCAGTGGATTCACAGCGGGCAGCTGCTGTTGCTGCTATACACACGTGCCCACTTTTATAACGTCCTGAGGAAGGCAGTTGGCCTATAAAAATACAGCACAATGATTCCCATCCTCTCCCCCGTATAGCCTCAACAGACTTTTGGTGCGAGTGCTGTTGGCGACCAATGAAGGCCGGTACGTGACCAGATTTTTTGACGACTGCAACTGGAATATGCACTGAGTGCGCACACGCGCGCTCGTTTTGGGGTGGGTCTCATCCTTCCGGGGCGCCTTACAATCCGGTACAGCTGGGAGCTGACACGCGCACTGGGCGCATCTTAAAAGGCAATTGTAATTCGATGCTGAAGAGCTTCGAATTCATTGGAAAGTTAAATCCGAATTGCATTTCACGTGAAAAATAATCGGCCGCGCTGTGCATGTGTGCATATAAGCTGATTTGTGGGGAGCGGTAATGTAGCGGGTAAGCGCGCTGGGCTACAAACCTGGCGACCCGAGACCCATTCCCCACTCACGGCCACCAGCACCAGTGACGATTATCTGAACCACTCCTGGGTCTCCCCTAGGTCGACTCAGCCTCAGGCGAGTATCTGGTGCGGTGTTTTAAACATTGCCACTGGGGAGACAAAGGCGGGCGGGCGGGCGTGGTGCTGGCCATCCACCCCCTCGTGTTCCATGCCGGCCTTCATTGGTCGCCAACAGCACTCGCACCAAAAGTCTGTTAAGGCTATACGGGGGAGAGGATGGGAATCATTGTGCTGTATTTTTATAGGCCAACTGCCTTCCTCAGGACGTTATAAAAGTGGGCACGTGTGTATAGCAGCAATCCACTGCTGTATTTAGCTCACCCCATGCCGTGTCAGTCATGGAGGCGATGGGGAATTGTTTGACCATACTTCACCACGTTCGTAAAATGCGGGTTGATGAAGCCGTAGGAAGAGGGTGGGGTGGGAGGGACCGGACAGTGACCGGTTCAGATATCACTCGCCACTGACGTTATCCGTGACCAAGAAATCGAAATCGGTGCACTGGGGTTTCACGCTTCAACAGTGTGGCACGCTAACCACTTCGCCCACCGCTCCAATCCGTTCAATAATGTACGCCGTACAAATGGATTGCATTACTAACAAATGTTGTTGCAACGATGTATAATTCACAGCATAATAACTAATTTATTAACGCGCGATCTACAGGGCATGAATTATGCAGATTGCAACATTGTTTCAGAGGTCGGGGTCATGCTGGTAAAGGTCAAATTGAGGGCCATCACTAACCCGTCCCTATAAGCCCGTGGTATTTTTAGACCGCAGATAAAGATTTAATTCAGATACGAATTATCCAATTTTGGGATTTGCCTCCATCCGCGCACACACACACACGTCCTCTGGCTACTGTGTGCATATATGGTCACGCATTGGACAACACGTTCTAAACGAACAAATCATGACAAGGTACATTTTAAGATGCTATATACGAATTACTAATGAAGTGCATAAAGGTATAAGCAGGGGGGAATGTAGTCACAGGTAACGCTTCAGCCCTGCAAGTGCTTGCCCACATCACGGCTGGCAAAAGAGCCGCAACTTGAGTGCGGTATAAATGGAGTCCCGAGAGTCTATGGAGTACTTGGTCTTCTCTTCCTTCCTGGCCAGATGTCTTGGATGAGGTGGGTGAACTCACAGCAGAATGTGTACTCCAATACGATTTCATCCGCATGCCTAACAATTATACGTTGTATGTTTAAATAAACGTGGTGTACGCAAGAGATATTATCTACATATTCGCACAATTCAATACAAATTGGAGTGAGGGTGTTACCTTGCTGCACTATGAACCAGGTGAGGAGAGTTGGACTCCCGGCCACGGCTATCGTAGCAGACGATATCTGCACCTCCGATTAGCACGGTTGGCTACGTACGGTTCGAAATAATTTCAACATACATACATACAAATACCTCCACCCCTGTCCCTTTACCAAGCCATATAGAAGCAGAGATAGCCATTTATACCGATACTCCGATTAGCACGGTTGGCTACGTACGGTGCCAAAGAAGTTCAACATACATGCACTGCACTATCAACCTGGCTAGCTAAGTTACTGTATATGTCTGGCGACGGCTAACATCAGTGGCAAGAAATTTCTGAACAGCTCCTGGATTTCCCTCTAACCCCCCCCTCCCTCCTTCCACCAACTCGGACCTGGTCAGCCTTGGTGAAGTATGGTTAGACGACCCTCATGCACCGACACTGCACGGGGAGGGCATTCATCCAGCAGTTGGATTGACAAAGCGCTGTCCTGTAAACATACACGAGCAGCAGTCCCTCTGTCGGTCCACTGCTGGATTAGGACCTCGTCACACCGTGCGGGTCACGGCGAGGGATTATTTGAGCACCATACTTCACCACGCTGTTGAACGTGGGTTGAAGGCGATGAAAACGCAGCCTGTGTGAGCACGGTACAATGCAATAAATTATTTCGCTGGGCGCTGCCCTCTGCTGACAACCCATCCCTCCACAGGCTTGGCTGGCTTCACTCTGCTGAGTTTTAAAACAAAGGCGCGGCCCTGCAAATCGCTTGCTTCACGGCACTGCTGGCGGATGGGCGTCTACTGCAGGGAGACCTTGAGAGACCTCTACTCTAAGCAGAGGACATTCGCCCGAATCATTGCAAGAAGGAAGGGATGTGGAGTATCCCACACTTCACCACGACCACGGGCGACCTTCCGATTGTAATTCATTAACGGTGGGTGTCCCAGTTTGACACTGCTTGGGTGGACAGAGACGCGGGGTGGGTCGTGCGGGCATTGAATACGAAACTCGCAAGGTCGTCTCACCTGCCACGTCCGGGAAAAATCTAACAGAACCGGGCAGACCACCGGTCTTGTGTAGATTGCAGGCTCGTGTAGCTACGTGAGCTAAACACTCCGCGACGGGCAGAAAGCCTTGATGAGAGCACTGTACTCTTAAGGCATCACGCAGCAACACAGGGGCAAGGAATAGGCGCGCACGCGGAGATATTTTATCATCGTGTCTACAATAAAGACATAGCGACGAGAGCTGTGATCTCTAGAAGACCCGTGCAGATAGGAACAGGCGAACCTCACTCATTTGCACAAACTTACCTTTGCTTTGCCTCTGCGCGCTTCCTCCAGTCCACCACCAGTCACAGCCTATCTCCTGAAATCTTGGCCCATCGGTCCCCTTCCCACACGAGCGGTGAATTATAATTGTGATGATAATAATGATAATGTGATAGTGGTATTAGTAGTAATGATGATGGCTATTGTGGTGGTGGTGATGCTGATGATTGAATGACAGCCTGGACACGGACAGAAGGCATAGCTAACGTTGTAAGTGCCCGAGACTCGGGAGTGAGTGAGTGAACGGATGAGCGTAGATTTGCCGGCTGGCGTGCGTTGCTTTAGGGAGAGAGAGAGGTGGGGGTAGGGTGGATATTTGGATCGTAGCCTTTGCCCAGTTGCTTTGCCCATGCTGGCTTACCACCTGCTCACAAACGTTACACGGAAGAGATTCACGAGGCTTATGCCCTCTCTCTCGCTCTCCCTCCCTCCGTGCCTACCCCCCGCTTGATTCAATGTAATGTAGGGCTCACAAACACATCAAAGCTAGCACGCCTTGCCCGCCAGCCAAGAACTTTCTTTGTTATCGCTGCTCAAAAACAGTGCAACCACAAACATCGTTGCTTAGGTGATCGTGGTGGTTATATTGATGATGATGATGATTAATGAGGTCATGATAATCTTTTGAGTAGTAAGAAATCAATTGATGATGATGATACATGTTTGAGGCATGTTGTCATACTCAACAGTGTTCTATTGAGAATGATAAATCACTATGTAACACAATTTTTGTTCTTGGGTACTAAGTGTTAATTTTTAATTGCTTATGCCTAAAAAGTATATAAAATGGCTATTATTCCCCACAAACTTTTCTTTTGTGACCAGTACTTTATGTGAACGAAAGACACAAATGCACACCACGTTTTCTCATTGAAAATATGTACATTTCAAAATATCACTGTTCTGGTCACAAAAGCAAAGTTTGTGGGAATAATAGCCATTTTCTGTACTTTTGAGGCATAAGCAATTAGAAAATAACACTTACTACCCAGGACCATTTTTTGTTACATTGTATAATACTAAGGCAATGATTATGGCGATGATAGAACAATGGGTGGGGGGGGGGATCATCCCTTTTGTGAAAATTACAGGAGAGAGTAATGATGCTGGTGATTATAATAATACAATAATTACTGTTTTACTGTGATCATTTCTGTTTTGGGAACAATTAAAAATTGGACATTGTGATGATGGTGATAGCAATAGAATAATGATGTGATAATAATTATGTTTTTTGGAATAATGACAATTATGATGATAAAATCGCGTGGAAGCAATAACTTTTTGGAGAATATTAACGCTGACGGTGATGATCATAATGATGATACATTATTACGCTGAAATGTGTATGCGTGATGATAACACTTCAGCTACAAGTTTACGATAAACTGTCACTTGCATTGATGCCATAGGTCAAGATCGAGATCATTAAAGTTATAAATGTGCAAGACAATGCTGACCGTTATTATTTGCAATAATTATGCGAACGCAGAAGACGACAAAAATATTGGCAAATTGGTGTACTCATTGCAGGGTGAATAATACATGGTATATCGTATTGTGACTATGAACAACACTGAAAAACGATCATTATTAAGGCAATAACCGTAATGTAACTATGATGATGATAATAACGATAATATAGATGATGGTGCAGTAATGCAATGATAAGGGTGATGACTATCACAGTGGTGATGATCATGCCACAGATGCCGATGACAATGATGATTTTGATGATGCGATCGCGACACTGAAATGCTTGCAGTGGTTGTCACGCCGATGATGAGGACAATGGTGAGACGAAGGTGATGACAATGACGGCAATGACAATCATGATGATGATGATGACAATGACGACTTTGATGTGACCACAACGATCAGGTGAAGGAAGCCCCCCCCCCCCCCCCCCCTTCTCACCTGCTCTGAACTCTCATCTTGTCCGCTGCAGGCACAGCGCGCCCGATCAAGCAAGAGCAGGGACGTCTGAGCCTGAATTTGCTCATCACTGAAATGCCCTCGCATCGGCTCGCCGGCCCAGCACCCAGACACCCCCACCAATCAGCCAGTGCGAGCCGTCACGGATGGTGGGTGGGTTGGGTGGTGTGGGTCGGCGTGTGACTTCATGCGTGTGTGCGCGTGCGTGCGTGCGCGCGCTCGTGCGTTGCGTTGCGCGCGTTCGCTGTGAAGGACGGAGGCGAATGAATGGAGGTTTCTCTGCTTTCGGCTCTGAGCCCCCCCCCACCTCCTCTGAATGTTGCACCACCCAAGGTTGTGCGCGCCCCCTCTCTTCTTATCTCCTCTCTCTCTCACGCACGCACGCGCGAGAGCCGACAACATCAATGGCGCGCGTACCCCCCACCACCACCACCACCCCACGCTTCATGCGGGTACCTCTCTCCGCACGGACACACGTGTCGTATATAACAACGCGATTACGGTCTCCTTGATTAACAGTGTACGGCGCGAGACGCGCGCGACGGCCACGGGATGCAATCTTCTCAACACGCCCACCGCTAATGGGCATGTCTGTATCGTTTCTGCAGCCCCAGCAGCAAGTAATAGCCTGTGCTCGCCCAAGAAGAAAGCAAATACAAACCCCCCCCCCTCTCACTAAAACATAACACTTACTCGCAGCTGCGGCGCTGTAGAGATCGGGACACGCTGGAGTGTCATTCGGAAGAAAATATATTTAGCTGGTAATGCAATGCATTGAAATCCGGCCACAATGCCACGCGTCTCGACTCTCCCTGGTCACCGGGCACGTGCGCGGGCTGGTGTCGATCTCAAAGGAGACAAAGATCCCCCGTATAGCCTCAACAGACTGTCGGAGCAAGGGCTGTTAGCGAGCACCTATGAAGGCCGCCACGGCACGCGGGCAGGGTGGGTGGCGCGGCACCACGCCCGACCGCCTTTGTCTCCCCATTGGCGATGTTTTTCACATCGCACCAGGTACTCATTTGAGGCTGAGTCGACCTAGGGGGAGGCCCGGGAGCGGTTCAGACAATCGTCACTGGTGTGGGTTGGCCGTAAGCGGGAATCGAACTCTGGTCGCCAGGTTCGTAGCGCACTAACCGCTCCACGAACGGATCATCCGGGACGCGCTCAATGTGTTGGATCAGACGGCGCGGCAGGAGAACTGAGCCGAGTGCAAACTAATGCACGTGCATGCATATCGAGACTTCAGTTGCAGTTTCATGAAATTGCATAAACACGTGCGGCCACGCACGTAATGTCACGACAGTTCGGGGAATGTGCTCTTCAGTTAAGAGCATGAAGAAGAAGAAGAAGAAGAGGTAGAGGAAGACTAAGAGGAATAGGACGAAGAGGAAGAAGAGTAAGAAGAGGAAGAGAAAGAAGAGGATGAAGAAGGAGAGACATTGCTTGAAACGTCGGCTATTATTGACGTATTCCTCTTTCAAGGGCAGTGCTACTAACGAACGGCGTCGAATGTTTCGTTATTTGCGCTCGAGCAGCACTTAATACGGTTTCACAAAACAAACGTTTTACATACATAATGTGTTGACGGCGGACGCACATACATCTCAAAAAACACGCTCACAAAGCTCCCCATTGTATATTTGAATGTGGTGCTCTTAAGGCAAGTGCTCTTGGCAGGCCCCTTGGTATGACCGGAACAGCACATTGAGGGGTTGTTTAGGTATTCATCGCTACGCACGATTGCCTACTCCTCCAAAGCACTATATATTGTTTTTGTTTTATGACAGTTCGCCATTGCAAGCTCAGTCAACCTCGAGGATGCTCACGCTGGGTGCACGATTCCGGTTGGGCACTGGTGGTGGTAGCGGTGGTGGTGATGAGTGGTTGTAGTGGTTGTAGTGGTGTTGGTGCGTGTGTATGCGGGGAGCGGTGGTATAGCGGTTAGGGCGCTGCGCTACGAACCTGGCGACCCGGGTTCGATTCCCGCTCACGGCCAACACCCAGTGACGATTATCTGAACCGGTCCTGAGCCTCCCCTAGGTCGACTTGGCCTCAAATTATTACCTGGTGCGATGTGTAAACATCGCCACTGGGGAGACAAAGGCGACCGGGCGTGGTGTTGGCCACCCACCCCCTCGTGTGCCGTGCCGGCCTTCATAGGTGCTCGCTAACAGCACTTGCCCCTCCAGTATGTTAAGGCTATACGGGGGGTATTTGTATTTGGTGTGTGCGTGTGTGTGGCCGGGAACAAAGCCCAAGCGCGGTGCCTCATTTTCCACTCGGATGACAAAGGTCGCCCCCGGAGCCCTTTTAAAGGCCCCCAAGCGCGAATTCTGTTAGCGAGCGCAAAATTAAGGCTGGTACCGGCACACAAGGGAATGCTGCTGTGAGCGTCACAGCTAACTTTCCTTTGTGTCCCCGGTGCTAATATTTACATACTGGAACAGGTACTCGTTGAAGGCTTGAATTTACCTAAGGGGGGGGGGGCTCAGGAACGGTTAGAGATACCGGTTACCGCTCGCCGCTGATGTTAGCTGTGGCTCAGAATTGAATTCTAGCCACTGGGTTCAGAGCGCAATGCGAGAACCACTGCACAACCGCTCCACACAAAATAAATAAAACACACACACACACAGCGCGCGCGCGCCTACACACATTCTGATATTGATTAAATCAGCCCAAGTACCTTCTGTTCGTACATTCCAAAATGTGTCCGACGACAAGGATCCCCCGTATAGTCTTGACAAACTTTTGTGGCAAGTGCTCTTCTTGAGTGGCACCAATGGAGGCCAGCACGCCACACTAGTGGGTGGGTGGCCAACACCACGCATGGCCGCCTTTGTCTTCCTAGTCGCGATGTTTACGCATTGCGCCAGGTACTAATTTGAGTCGACCTTGCGTGTGTGCACATGCATGTGTGCACGTGTGCGCATACGTGTGTGTATGCATGTGACCTCTGTGGGGAGCGATAGTGTAGCGGTTAGCGCGCTGCGCTATGATACTGGCGACCCGGGTTCGATTCCCGCATCACGGCCAACACCAGTGACGATTATCTGAACCGGTCCCGGGCCTCCCCTAGGTCGACTCAGCCTCAAATGAGTACCTGGTGCGGTGTGTAAACATTGCCACTAGGGAGACAAAGGCGGTCGGGCGTGGTGCTGGCCACCCACCCCCTCGTGAACCGTTCCGGCCTTCATAGGTGCTCGCTAACAGCACTTGCCCCTACAGTCTGTTAAGGCTATATGGGGGATCTTTGTCTTTGTATGCATGTCACATGCGTACACGCACATGCGCGCGCGCATTCGTAACGTGTCGCCTTGCCAGCCGTTTATATTTTTCGCTGCCATTGGCCACGGTTTCCACGCGGAGTTTAATCCCTAAGCTGATGGCGTGCTCCCGCGGGGATGATGAGGATGATAATAGCGGTGACACGTGTGGAGGAATTTCACTCCCGCGTGCTTGTGGCACGCGTGAGACGACCAGCCACATCAGCATTTACGTACCCGAGCTTAAATCTACAATTATTTTGTCTCGCTGTAACAACAGTAATTATCTGAGCGCGTGCTGGGGCTGAAAGTGACTTTGCCTGGAGAAATGTCTCTTGTGACAGAATACAAGAAATATATAGATTGTATTTTAGTCCCCAATTTTTATCCCAATTGCGCAGTTGGCGCCATGGCATGAGACAAAAAAAATCCGTTCCGTAATTCTCGCAGGGTAGCACAAACCCTTCATGTTGGAGAACGGTCCACGGAAGCAGATGACACAGAGCTGCCTTTGAGTTTATTTTAGGTGACCTCTGGTCCACACAGTGGGCTGTGTTCAACACTTGCTCCACCCGCTCTGCATGTGAGAGTACAGTAATGTCTGTGGGATGACAGTTAACCCGATAATTTAATTCTAGAAACAAGAATTTAATTTTATGTGATGTTTTTTTTTCATGCCATTCATTGGTGACCGAGCGAATGTGATCAACTCGCTACACTTGAGAGCCCAGTTTAATCACAGGTGGCAACCTGAATTCGAACCGAGGATCTCAGTGATGCCAGCTCTGAGTTCTGACCTTTGACCTCTGGGCTGCCCGATTATAACATTTAATGCGAGTTAATACTTGGCCCGTGTTTGTGCGATTTGAAAAAAACATGTGTACTCCTCTAATTACTATGTTGACCGGGAGGTGTAGAGATGTGGCTCTCTGTTGGCCATTCATGAAAACAAAGTGAATCAACGTCAATTTGCGATTCACATGAACTTCAGCGCAAGGGGCGTGAAACGCTTTAGCCGTTAATTATGTAGTTGCAAAAGACACGATGGCCAGATTCAACATAATCTCTCAGGCATCGCCACACAGCCGTGGTGTAATGGTCACCGTACTGGACCTGCAGTCCAAAGGTCACCGGTTCGATTCCGTTTCCCGGCACAGCAGATGAAGAATTGGTGCACGTTTCTTAAACCCCACCGCACCCGCCTCTGTCCATATACCAGCATAAATGGGTTCACCACAGTTCAGACAGTAAGCTGGTCGCGTGTGGTGGTGGAAAGTGTGGGTACTCCCACCGCTTTTTGTCGAAAAAAAGTCTGCCCATCGTGGAAGAGTAAAGCTGGAAATCGTCGATTACTGTGGGATCTCAAGATCTCCCTCCAGTCGATGCCCTTTGGCCAACTATGGCACGAGCAAGAAATTGCAGTGCTGCACCTTCACCTATCAGTATGATATGTCTTTAGTGTTTTACGTAGATACACTTAATGAATGTACTAATTAACTAATTCATTACATCACCCATTTTTTTCGAGCTCTTTTTTTAATCCACAGCTGGATGAAGGCCTCCCCACGCCACGTCGGTAAGTGGGGGATTTGTTTGACTATACTTCCCCACACTGGTCAGTGCTGGTCGGTAAAGCATGAGCCCAGACCTGGTTAAGATATCACTGATGTTAGCTGTGGTCAGGAATTGAACTCAGGTAACAGGGTTCACTGCGCAGTGCGCTAACCACTGTGCCCCCTGCTTCAACCATTGCGCTACAGTCATAGCGCTGTATTTGAGTCGAGGCTTATGCACTCGGATCTATAGAGCGTGCAAATCCTATGCACGGGTGATTTTTCCACAATAGATGTCAGCTTTCGTTTGCAGATATTAATGTTTTGTGCCGGTGGCTGTCATTTCCAAAATGCTACAGAACAATAGAATAATGCCTTTTTTTGTTGTTGTAGATATCGACTCCACACCCATCAATACCGTATAAATATAAACAAGTGAGAACGGTATACCAAATTAGATTTAATTGCCTGTCACGGGGCACAATTTCACGCAGCATAAATTGCGCACGTCCCAAAACACGTGCGCGCACGCGCTCCCCACGCGCACACGCGGGCTCGCGCGCACATTGATTTTACGGATTCCGAACATGTTGCCATGCGCACGCAAATGCCACCTCGTCTATCAACGGC